AGAAAAAATAAACTTGTCTGTCAGTCTACAACTCGATTTTGGTCTTAGAGTATTTGAACTTTATAATTAAATGAAAAATATATTTCCAAAATATGTCCATGTACGTTACCTAAGCTCTGAGCCAGCCTTTATGGCGACAAAGAATCTATCAAGGCTCACAATATTTCAAGTGACAAAGGTGCAGTGGAACCTCTGATAGGAGCTGTTTCACAATATAGCGACCAGCTACCACTAATTGGTGTGTAATCAATCTGGGAGAAGTTGTCGGTATTAGACCGGTGGCGCAGCGTCAAATTACCCTCCTCATCGGGCACAAAATTTTCATAACAGGTACTCGAAACACACTTTATCATTCGTAAACAAAAACCGCCCGTCTGCCATCGATGGGTGGTAGCCCGCTCCCGTGACCGCCCCCCAAATAAGGGAATTTTGATCAAAAACCCCCCTTACCAGTACACAAATGAAATTTTCTGGGCATGTAGAGAATTATATTAGAAATCTAAAAACACGTGGCAGACGCCTTCCAGTGGTAGCCCTCCAGGGCAGACGACCTTAAAAAAAATATATATTACGTAAAACTTTCCTTACGAGTACATTCACAAAATTTTGTAGGCTTAAACACAGATAGATTGGTGTGCTAAGAATGCATGGCAATCGCCTTCAAGTGGTAGCCTGTCCAAGACAAAATTACGCTGAAGCGTTCCTTATAAAGACTATACATTAAATAAAGGAACTGTCTAGAGTCCCGAACGCGGGATCGCTAGAAAAACGCAAAATCCCGAAAAGGCGTGGCTAAATAATGGCGTCCGGGACTTTCCAAAAATAATTCTAGTCCCGACTTCGGGACCATGGTAACAAAAGTAAACTCCCGAATTCGTAATAATTCTTTATGTATTATTTGTTTATTCTATACACCTAGGTTAGATTAGCCAACTCTTGTGTTTTGGGCAGTTTTGGCTGGAAATTTGTACTTAGGTATCCTTTATTATGGGGTTAAATACAAATGACACATTTGGTTCATGTAAAGAATTACAAGATGCTATTGATTGATATGAGAAAGAAAATAGGGTGCAATTTTGGAAACGGGATGCAAAAACTATCACATCCGCGAAGCATCATGCCCCTAATTTATACAAGACGGTTAAAGATAAACCTGATATAAGATGAAAATATGAAATAATCCCTAATCATGAACAAGTTGTTGTTGATACCCGAGTTGATACCCCTATCGAGACTTATGAGATTCAGGACTATGATGAACAAGAACAGTAATTTGAAAATTCTGAAATAATCCCTAATCATGATCATGAACAAGTTGTTGTTGATATACCCCTATCAAAGCCCTATATCGAGACTTATGAGATCCACATGGACTGTTATGAACAAGATCAGCAATTTCCAAAAAATGTATTTTTACCAGTACCTACCTAGTTAAGTGGTAATTTATCGTGATTGGTATAAAGAAAGTCGAGGCAGACCTAGAGGCAAGAATTTAGCGGCGATAGATCTGCCAGCTAAAAAGAAAAGATGTACAAAATGAGATGTCAAAGTTTCTTTTCCATATTGTTTACTTAGTAGAAATACACGATATTTGTTTTTTGCTACTTCCTTGTTTTTCTATGATTTGTCTGATAAAATTATAAGTCAGGACTAGTCGGGAGTTTACTTCTGTTACAAAAGTCCCGAGGTCGGGATTCGAATAATTTTTGGAAAGTCCCGAACGCCGTTATTAGTCACGCCTCTTCGGGATTTTGCTTTTTTCTAGCGATCCCGCGTTCGATGCTTTGTAGGGATTTTCGAAGTTTGAGGATGACAGAGTTGAACCTCAAACACAGTCCAGAAAAGTTTTTGCGGTCAAGTTAGGTCTCGGAGGGTCACTACGGGGGGAAGTCGATAATTTGTTTGAAAATTCGTGAAAAATTAATGATGCTTTGTAGGCATTCTTTGAAGTTAGAGGATGATAGAGTTGACCATAAGCACAGTCAAGAATAGTTTTTGCAGTTAAATTAGGTCTGGGAGACTCACTACGGAAGAAAGTCGATAATTTGTTTGAAAATTTCGTGAAAAATTATTGATGCTTTGTATGGATTTTTTGAAGCTTAAGGATGATAGAGTTGAACCTTAAGCTCATTCGAGAATATTTTCTCTAGTCAAGTTGATTCTGGAAGAGTCGCTACGGCGGGATGTCGATAATTTTTTTGTAAATTCTCAGAAAATTAAATATAATAGACCTATCTCGCATGATTAGGAAAAAGAGAGCTTAATAATTGTAATAAATACAAATTAGAAAGTAATAAAACATGACATGCGCGCGCAACTGGGGGCTGCAGTGTAGCCAGACTCTATTGTTGCAGAACAAATGTAGACAATACAAATCGAACATTATAACATTAAAGAAGTGATATAGTGTCAAGTGTTTTACAACACCTTAAATCAGACAAAAGAAGAGCTTTAAAGTGGATGAACATCGTTTGCACTTCTATTTTGATAAATGTTTCATCCGGCAGCATCGCTCAACGAAATTGCAAAAAAATATGTCAAATATGATCTAACATAACATTAAACGACACTGCGGTGAGTTCAAGTAATATGTAAAGTATTAGTTTACTCTTTGTCGCATTAGAATTTACAAAGAAAGAAGGAACGATTCATTCTGAACTAGCCCCTGAATAAGAATATGACGCAAGCCTGTAACAAACTTGTTTCTCATTGGACGCTCACCTGGAGCCTACAAGCGACGCGCGCATTCCAGGTAATAGGGGATCGGACTATTTAAGGGATTTGTTGTTTAGAAAGAATAATGATTATTTTTGTATAACTGCACTTTTTACAGTGTTTTCACGCTTCGAGATTTTGTAAAAAATGTCTTCACAATTCTTTATTTTATTTCTTCGAAAAATCTGTAAAAAATTCTAGCTTCGATGGAAGAAGAAAAGGGCTGCAAACTAATAAAATCCCAAATCGGTTCATTTGTTCAGGATTGGCAAGGGTTCAAGGTTGCACCTAAAGTTAGGTCAATCACATTTCATGACACTGAAAACCAATTTCAAAAAAACTTTTTATGCGTGAAGCTAAGAGAATTTTAGGAATTTGGAGGGATAGATTCATGAAGCTTATAAACTATCGATCAGGCCCTTCAACTGATGGGCAAACAGAAAAAATATCAGAGAGGGGAAAAACTTATGCTATAATCGACCTTTTTAGTCCCCGTAGTGACTTTCCCAGACCTAACTTGACTAGAGAAAGTATTCTCGGATGTGATTAAGGGTTAATTCTTTCTTTCTGAAATGACAAAAAATTCCTACAAAGCATTATTAATTTTTCAAGAATTTTCAAACAAATTATCGATTTCCCCCCGCAGTGACCCTCCCACACCTAACTTTACTGAAAAAATTATTCTTGGCTGTGTTTTAGGGTCAACTCTATCATTCTCAAACTTCAAAAAATCCCTACAAGGCATCATTAATTTTTCACGAATTTTCCAACAAATTATCGACTTCCCCCCGTAATGACTCTAGTGAAGTTAGGTCTGGGAGGATCATTACTCTACCGTGTTCCTATATAATCTGTAACTCCTATTTATCATTATTAATGCTAAGTACTCTTGAATAATACATGAATCTGTGTTTTTGTCCCTAATACTTATGTTGTAGTTTTATTTAATGTCTTTATCCATAATAAGAAACGCTTCAACGTAATTTTGTCTTGGACAGGCTACCACTTGAAGGCGTTTGCCATGCATTTTTAGCATACCAATCTGACTGTTTAAGTCTAAAAAATTTTGTGAATGTACTCGTAAGGGGAGTTTCACGTCATATATTTTTTTTTAAGGTCGTCTGCCCTGGACGAGCTACCACTGGAAGGCGTTTGCCCTGGACGGGCTACCACTGGAAGGCGTCTGCCGCGTGTTTTTAGGTTTCTAATATAATTCTCTACATGCCCAAAAAATTTCATTTGTGTACTCGTAAGGGGGGTTTTTGATCAAAATTCCCCTATTTGGGGGGCGGTCACAGGAGCGGGCAACCACCCATCGCTGGCAGACGGGCGGTTTTTGGTTGCGAATCATAAAGTGTTTCGAGTACCTATAATGAAAATTTTGTGCCCGATGAGGGGGGTGATTTGACGCTGGGCCACCGGTCTATATGACTTATTTATCCATCAAAGAACCGACAGATGCTGCCAAGATTCTGATAATAGTGAGTGAATGCCTATAATTATTTCGAAAAGACTGGTAATCATCAATTACTGCTCTTCACATTTGACCAATTTTTTATAATTGAAAATATTTTTTATGTTTGCAGAAAAACAGTTGAATATTTCAGTAGATAGTTTTTTATAGGTTGTATTGTCTAGTTTGTTGTTTGTTGATTACTTTAGTTTTCAATTCTTTATTCCTGTGTAGAAAAAGGCAGCAATTATAGAAGTGAAGAATTCTAATCTTTAGTACATGCATGTTCATAGCGAAGTATACTTTATTATTCAAGAAAAAAAAAATTCTATTGACAAAGAATGAACTTAGTAAAACAAACCAATTATTCAATAATGCAAACAACAATTTAACAAACAGAACGCCTATCATAGCTCAAAACTATCCTGAAATGTAAAGAAGACACAAGAATTCTTGAAATTACCTAGACTAGACTGAAAGCCACAAAGTATCACGGCTCACAGCAATAAAAAAAATATTTTTAACACCCCAACGAAACAATTTGTAATTTTCAATAGTTCTGAAATCATTACTTGTGTGTTTTTTGATTATACATAGTTGTGCAGTGGGAAAAAGGTTTTAGATTTTGGCAAATAACTTTGAATATACTTATGTATTGTTAGTTCTGACCAATATTAATGGGCTCTGAAGCTACCTACTCCTACTAGAATAATAAGAAACAAGCTCTGGCATGGCTTGTGGGTATTGATTATTTTATAAAATATAGAATATCTGAAGATGTTTCATTTTCACTTTCCAGACATAACTACAGCCCTTCATTTTTTTATTACAGCAACTAATCAGTGGTTTGTGCCAGTAACTAAAGGAGATATACCCCCAGGATGTGCTGCATATGGTTTTGTAGTAGAAGGAACCAGACTGTTTGTGTTTGGTGGAATGGTAGAATATGGAAAATACAGTAATGAATTATATGAATTACAGGTAAAATCACTCATTAACAAATCAGTTTAATGGTAATTGTGGAAAAAATGTTTTAGGCGTCAAAATGGGAATGGAAAAAGTTAACTCCAAAACCCCCAAAGTCAGGTATTTCGCCTTGTGCAAGATTAGGACATAGTTTCACCATTGTAAATAACCTAGTATACTTATTTGGTGGCCTTGCGAACGATAGTCAAGATCCAAAAAACAATGTACCTAGATATTTAAATGATCTATACACATTAGATATAAAAACTGACCCCCCTCAATGGAATATTCCTGTGATTCATGGCCAGCTACCGCCACCAAGGGAATCTCATACAGGTGTAGCTTATTGGGATAAGAAAAATTCCAAGTCATTTTTAGTTATTTATGGAGGAATGAGTGGATGTCGGTTGGGCGACTTGTGGTTCTTTGACACTGATACTCTGACTTGGAGCCAACCTTCTATCTCTGGCATACCACCTTTACCAAGGTAAGTTAAAACATTTGTGATGTAAGAAGTGGAACATTTTAATTATTTCCAGGCTCAAAAACTTTCCTAAAACATTATATGGGCTTTTTCATTAAATTTTGAAAATGCTAGATTATTATTTATCATACCTGCTGAGTATATATTTTTTTGGGCTTATGGCACTGGATTAATTTTACCAACTGGCCATCATCTTCCTTTTTCTTGCAGTGCCCTAAACTACAAATTTTATTGTTTTCCATATTTGATCGAAATTTTCCTAAGCCTTTTTCAACAAAAAAATTTAAAACCTCATATTTCTTCATCAATAGAGAAAATAGTTATGGTTTTCTGGTAGTATATAGGTGTAAATCATGTGCTAATCAAGAATTTCAGGACCCATCCTTTCTTACAATAAATGTATTTATTTACGGCAAGGCCAATTTACACAATAACATAATTTACAATTTAATTCTACAATATACCTAGTCTAGGAAAATAGTCGAAAAATACATGTATTGCAAAAAAAAAAATCCTACCCAAATGAACTTTTCAGGGATGATAGGGGGCGGGTGGGTGATCATAAAACCGTAAATATCAAACATTCACCCCTCTGGCGTTTTGCGCTATAGGGGTTGAAAGTGCGCCATTGGCGATTACTTGGTACATATTGATTTTACAAAAAAATGTTTCAAATAAAAGATGTGCAACATTATTTGATCTACAATGTTTATCTAAAGATTTTTTTGATTAAGGGCCGTCTGTAGTCATAGGAGCCGTTTGAAATTTTATAATGAAAATGAAAAATTTTAACCAACGTGAAAAAATGTTCTACAACTCATACAACATTTTTGCTTTATGAAGTTTTTACTCACCCCCTGCCGTTTTTCAATAGGGGTAGTTGAAAGTTTTTTGTTTTTTTACAAAAAAATTTTCTCAATAAAAGTTTTATAAGATGACATTTTCTACAATTTTTCCTATTCAACTTTTTTTGTAATTCACCCCCATGCAGCGGGGGGACACTTCCCTCGGGGAAATTTTAGTTTTTAGGGGTATATATTATTTTTTTTTTCTTTTCTCGCCTTTAGTGCATATAAAAAGTTGCAATTAACATTGTATTAAAAGGATTTTTTTTCACCACCTTTTTGTTTTTAGGGGTAGTTCGCCTATTTTCAACTTTACAAAAAAAAATTATTAAGAAAACTTGTTCATTTTATTATTTTGAGCAACTTTTCTATATAACTTTTTTTTGTAAAGTTGAAAATAGGCGAACTACCCCTAAAAACAAAAAGGTGGTGGAAAAAAAATCCTTTTAATACAATGTTAATTGCACCTTTTTATATGTACTAAAGGCGAGAAAAGAAAAAAAAAATAATACATACCCCTAAAAACTAAAATTTCCCCGAGGGAAGTGTCCTCCCTCTGAATGGGGGTGAGTTACAAAAAAAGTTGATTAGGAAAAATTGTAGAAAATGTCATCTTATAAAACTTTTATTAAGAACATTTTTATGACCACAGATGGCCCCTAATCAAAAAAATCTTCAGATAAACATTGTAGATCAAATATTATTGCACATCTTTTATTTGAAACATTTTTTTGTAAAATTAATAGGTACCAAGTAATCGCCAATGGCGCACTTTCAACCCCTATAGCGCAAAACGCCAGAGGGGTGAATGTTTGATATTTTCGGTTTTATGATCACCCACCCTCCCCCTATCATCCCTGAAAAGTTCTTTTGGGTAGGATTTTTTTTTTTTGAAAATCGACAATTTTCCTAGACTAACCTCAGGATATAATAAACAACAAATTATGCATTCACACTATGACTATTCAATTTATGAATTCCAAAAAAACAGTGATTACTTACTTAATTTGAGAAGTTTCTAGCTAAACAATGGTAATAGTCTCCTTTTTAAGGCAATACGAATGGCAACCAAAAAGGTCAATATGTTGGCTCATTGAGTCGGCAAACTTGAGTACCCTTGAGATCAACTCAACTCAAAACTTCTCATACTCCTTTCTCCTGCTCTTAATGAAACAATACCCAAAAGATTTGGGCAGTCAATCAACCCTCTCGAGAGTTTGTAAAGGTAACAAAGGCCAGCCTGAAGTTGCCTGCTTTGCAATGTATGAATATTCAGGTAATATCAGTCTAACCTACAATTTCTAAGTCGCAAATATTACCCTGGGTATATGTTGCGCGTTTTTATAAGTTTTTATAAGAAAACCACTCTGTAGAACCGGGGTAAGTTGATTTATCTAAAAATTCATTTAGTGAAATTATTCCAATATTTGCATTAATACAATCTCACCTTTCCTATGGACTACCTTTTTGGGGCTGTCGTAGCCAATACCTGTTTCAATCAGTGTTTAAACTCTAGAAGCGAGCAGTACGCTTTATCGCTGGTGCTTCTCCAAGGGAACACTGCAAGTCCTTATTTAAAAAATATAACATATATTCATTGCCTTGTCTTCTTACACAGTTGATGAATTTCTGAATGTTTCCATATAAAATTACAACCTTCCTGCTTCTGTTACAGCTGCTGTATAGAAACTCACTGAAATTAAATAACTTCTTACCCTAAATTGTGTTAGTGTCTTTTTAATATTTTCCAAATCTTGAGGTTTTTTTTGCAGTTTGTTACAAGTATTTTAACTTTTGTATTTATGCTAGTTTTAAAGCCTGTCATTTGTTTTTTTTTGTACCATTTACTAATTTATCAATAATTGTTGTGCCTACAATTTTAGTGTTCATTTATTTTGCTGATCTATTTTACTAAGTTTTAATCTTGTAGTGTAGGTGCCCAGCGACATAAAGTTTCATTGATGAATACTACCTTGAAATGTTGTTTGTGGCTTAATTGCGCCTAGTCTACCATCTTTTTCCTTTAGGAAAACTTTCGTAGTGGGGGCTTTTCTTTTCTAGTTTTCCCGAATGCCGACCATTTCGCGTGGTGCAAAAAATTTATAGATATCGTTTTTATTTTTAGTAAAATCGCGAGACAAATTCATGAAAAACGTGAAAAAAAATGTGTCCGACAAAAATGTTGGACCGTTAAGGGTGTCTACCAACTCAAACATATCCAATTGACAAAATGAAAAAAAATTTGGATAACGAACTGATTTTTTCAGAATTACTTAATTGAAATATGAAAAATATAAATATCCAATTGTCCGACATATTACATTTTCCGATTTTCCAGTCCGATGCGGGAAAATCATCGGATTCACGAAGCTAAAAAAATTACGAATAACAATTTCTTCTTTCGATTTATTGTATTGAAAACAACTATAGAACATAATGACTAAGTTGTCCGACAGTAAAACATTACCTTATGTGTAAAAAAGAAGCAACAAGTTTTTTTGAATTTAGTCGGTGTACGGTGTACCTGACGTCGAGGTGCGCTCCAATCATCTCCTGTTGGAAAAAATTTACACCAGAATTTATTGTAAATTATTTTTAAAATAAAGATAGTTTCACAGCCACAAATATAATGATGTGATATTACCAGATACTTCCGATAGTGAACTACATAAGTAATTGGTTATCATCCTGCTAATCAATTCTAGTGATGCCGCGAGACTCGAGACTGGTCTCGTCTCGTCTCGACTTCTCGAGACGAGACTGGCTTTTGGTCTCGTCTCGTAAAGTCTCGTCTCGTAAAGTCTCGACGAGACGAGACCAGACTCGGCGAGAATCTCGTGTAGTCTCGAGTCTCGAGATTACACTTTAAATTTTTCTTTCATAGTTTTATTATCAGATTATTCTGGGCTATTTGAATATGAAATCAGTAAATTAAATATCACGGTTACTCTTTACTGTGATTTTTCACTAATTGCTTTTTCACTGTGGCAGTTTGAACTTCCGTTATAATACAGGGTGTCCCAGCCGAAAGTGAACCATTTTAAATGATTTTAACTTTTAAACCAGGTGTGCTAGCTACTTGCGGTTTGCGCCATTCAATTTTTCTTGATCTAAAGTTTTTTCTAGTAGGTTGCAAATTTTTTTGAAACTTATACAGGGCAAGTTAAAAAAAAATCCGTTTTTCAACATTGATATTCTTCACTATTTTTAACGGAACACCCTGTATATCACAACGTCAAAAAAAAGAATAATGTTTAAGGTATCCATGTACGAATAGACATAGTCCCTAAAAGTTGAACTTTTAGCCGTGAAAAATCAAAATCGAAATCTTGGTATTTTTGAAAAAGCATATTTACAAAGCTTGGAACTTATGTTTGCCCAATAAAAAATTAATAAAAACTGCATAAAATTATACAAAATGCTGTATATGTATATGTTAGCCATTCTGTTCCAGACATTTATGGATCAGTAAATGGGTGAATGACTTGTGTAAAATTTCCTGGGAAATCGCTTCAATGACATTACAAATGTTTCGCTTAAGATCTTTTAGGCTATTTGAGCAAAGGATTACAGCATCTTTCCTTGACATAAGTCTAGAGAAAATGTCTGGAACTCTCAAGTCAGGAGAGTAAGGTGTCCATTTTATAGGACCTCCATATACGTTTTCCCCAAATGCCCTATCCAGTGATTCCCTTGCTATTAAAGAATAATGAGGTGGGGCACCATCCTGCTGGAAATAGATATCATCCAAGATACCCTTCTGTCTCAACTGTGGAAAAAAGAACATATCAGTGTATACAATTTCTGTTTACGTTGGTTCATTAATGGAAATGGTCTGTATTTTTCCTTAATAGAGATTGCACACCAAACTTACTTTTGAGGTATCTCTTTTTGACGAGTTCCAGAGAAAATACTCAGGAACTCGTAAAATTTTCTTGGAAATTGTATTTTAACTTAATTGATATGTTACTAGACAGTTACAAAATTCTTTTTCATAGTGATATCAAGTACCTACAACATGAAATTGCATGGGTTTGCAAAAATACCCAGATTTCGACTTCGATTTTTTACCTCTAAAACTTCAAGTTTTAGGGACGATGTCTATTGGTACATGGATACTTTGAATATTAATCTTTTTTTTGACATTTTGATATATAG